TCAATGAATCCCATTTTGCTATTATTTGGAACAATTTTAATTTCAATTTCCTTTCCAAGATATTTTTATTAACTTATTTTCTAATTATATTTAAATTCTGGAGATGCCAGTGGAGGCACATGTCATTGTAGGCAATAGGAGAGAGAGAGCGTATCTCAGCACTCAGTCTTCTCAAAGGTGGTGCCTTGTAAAACTTGTCAGTGCCTCAGCCAGGATGTGACGCTGATGCAGGACACTTCCACCGTGTCCACGTGGCCACCTCTCATGCCCTCCATCCAACCTCACACGCAGTTCCTGGCAACACCCAGAAGGTCTCTTTCTTCAGACTTTTGTTGCTTTGAGATTATATAAGTGAAACAGAGTATGTGTCCCAAAAAATTGGCTACACTGGCACCTGGCTGAGCTCGAGATGAACAGTATTCCTTTTTCAGGGCTGAGTAATGTTCCATAACACAGAAGTGCCACCATTTAACACTTCTTTAACTGTTAAAGAATATCTGAGCTGATTCCAGTTTGTGGTGCTCATAAATGAAGGTACTATGCATACTGGGGTGAATGCAAGTCTTTATTTCCTTGGGATAAATGCTGAGGAGTGTAAATGCATGTTTCTCCTCTTAAGAAAATTCCGAACTGTTTTTCCAGAGTGGCTGTTTTATTTTACCTTCCTACGGGCAGTGTAGAGTGATGGTAATTGACTTTCATGATTCAGTTATGCCATTTTCTCCTGTACCTGAAGGCAGTGAAAGTTCTACTCTTCTCACCTAATCTTCATTTAGAAAACCATGACCCTAGGGGACGCTGCACCATGTCGGGGGACATTTGCGGTTGTCGTGACTGGTGGTGCTCTGGGCACCCAGTGGGTGGGGCCGGGGATGCTGCTCAGCCCCCCAGTGCCCGGGCTGCACCCTCCCCAGCACCCCGAGGCTGGGCCTTGCCCGCCAGAATGTCCGGAGTGGCCGGCGGCTGCCCTGACGCCTCCCGTGACGTCACGCTTGTTTTGCTGTCAGCAGAGCCAGGTAGGTACAGAAAGTGGCGGTGCATTTCGGGTTTTCAAGACGTTTCCCACTCAGCAATAAAAAGGTGCTGCAGCTTGCTTGAGAGCAGAGTACGCTGGATTGCTCCCCAGGGAGTTATGTGAAGTGAAAAGACCAATCCCTGGAGGGTGTCTGGCTCCATCTACAGAGCACTGTTGAGATGAGGGCTGGGGTGTGGGGCATCCGCCGTGGCCAGGCTGGGCGGGGGTGTGACGCCGCTGGGTGCTGGCAAGACGAGTATCTGGAGAGAGGAGAAGCCTATGCACCTGCACAGGCGACAGTGGGGTGCAGCAGTGGGGTGCAGGCCTCGCACACACCCCCACTGCAGCTGAGGAAGGCGGGGGTTGCCTCCATGCCAAGGAGACAGTGACCAAACTGACAATTGCTACCAGTCGGGAGACCGGAGCGGCACAGAACCGTCTCTCTGACTTGCTACAACTGCCTTTGAGTCTAAGGTGAACCCCAAAAGACGCTTCAGGGAAAACGCCACCCAGCCACACCGCCTGGCTCCCTTTCCAGAGGCACGCGGGCCCCCTTTGGGTCAGAAGAGGCTGGTGTGTCTGCTTAGGTCACCCAGAGCCCTGCGTGTGGGCTTCCAGAGGGCTCTGATTCAGCAAGAGCTTCAAAGCAGCCACAAAACATCCAAGCCTTTGGTTCGGCCTAGAAATACCAAAATTACTCAGTGCTAAATATAGACGCCTACAGTGAGCAAACGGCCGGCCCTGAGGCGTGTTTCCCTTGGGAGACCGAGGCGACCTCCTCAGCACCATGCACACAGCTGTCCACCAGGACCTCGAGACCCCAGAGTGGAGCGGACACCGTGGCCCCGAGGCCTGGGGCCTTCCGATCCCGCTTCGTGCCCCGAGGCTCCCTCTGGGCTGGTTAAAACCCAGACGCCCCGGTGGCGTGACGTGGCGCGCAAGCACCCGTAGGGACGGGCAGTGCTTGCGTGTGCGGTGCCGTGTGCGCAGGGACGTCTCCGCGCCGTGTGTGCACAGGTGCGCAGGTGCGCTGGGGGTGCCTGTGAGCCGCAGGCCTGTGTGGGGGCGTCTGTACGCGCGTGCCCGTGGCTGTGTGCTGTGTGTCGTGTGCGTGTCTGTGTGTGCATGCGTCCTCCTGGGTGTATGTGTGTGCGTGGCCGCCTGTCCTGGTGTGTGCCCCTGGGGGTGTCCGGCTGTGAGTGCACTTCCGTGTGCACGTGCGTGGACACACATGTAGTGCATGTGTGTACGTGTGTTTCTGCATGTGCCTGGGCACAGGTGAGTGGGTGTACGCTGAGGCGCCATGCTCAGGTGTGATGCACACAGGCCGCATAACAGGCACCCCCATGCGCCAGCTCACCGCTGGCCTGGCATTGGCACGGCTGGCCACTGACTCAGCAGCAGCCGTGCCCCGGGGCCCAGGCTGACTCCAGCAGAATGGGCGGTGCTGAGTCAGCCGGGCACATTCCTCACCAGCTGCTCCCCACAGAAGGTGCGTGGTGTGCTGGACACCCTGACCAGGCCGGGCCTGCCTTGGCTCAGGAGGGCCTCGGAAGGCTCCAGAAGGGCGCAGGACCCTGGGGGGGGGGGAAGAGTGTATCAGCAGCCCCAGAAAGGAGGGTGAGGTCGCAGTCGCATTCCTGACTCACTCCAGGTTCTGCCTCTGTGGGGAGACTGGGTCAGGACTGGCAAGGTCAGGGCACGGCTTGGGGCGAGGCTGGTCTAAAAATAGAAGCAGAGACGCCACCAGGCTGTGGGCCGGCCCCAACCAGAGGACTAGGAAGCCACACCACGCTGAAGCGGGCTCCGCGGGGACGTGCACAGCCCAGGGCCAGCGAGATGACCGCCCCTCCCCGCAGTCCGCCAGAAGCCATGATGCTTCCAAAGGGCGGGCAGTCACCCCAAACTGTTACAGACTCGAGCTGAGACGTGACGCTCCAGTGCACACGAGATTAAACAAAACAGAGGCAGCGGCAGGGTTTCTCCTGTTAGGCTGGAGGATGGCAAGGTGGGGGGACACCTAGTTTGGGGCGGGCCCCCTGGCATCTGTCCCTACACTAGTTTAGAGCAGGTCATTTTCTATGGGACCATCACTCACACCGTGGGGGATCCCTACCCCACACTCGGTGCCAGGAGGCACCCCAGTACATCACCTGGTGTACCCCGGTAGCAGGAGCAAAAGCCTCCGTGGGGCTCCCGTATTAGAAGAAAATGCAGCTAGAAGAGGCTTGCTTTTGCGAAATGCACACACTTTAAACTGAAAGGATACAGAGCCTGTTTCAACAGTGGGCTTAACTTTCCTAGCACCTAACAAGCTCTGTGACTAGAAGGCACACAGGGCCCTCAAACGCAAACAGCAACACCTCTGGGGGACCAGGTCACAGCCCCCAGAGGGGGGTCACCCTGCAGGGTGTCACGCTGAACAGCAGCAGCCTTCCTGACTCCTTCCCTGCTCCCACAACTGACAGGGTTGGGCAAAGTCATTCCCACCTCTGCGCATCAGTGCGTTGCTCTGGGATGTTCGGGTCCCTCTCTGTGC